GGGGGGGGGGGGGGGTTACAAGACACGTGGTACAACCCTAATGTTGCTCATCACTACATCTGGCCTACATCATGACATACAGCCAAATATTGTGACCACACTACCATTTAAAATTGAACAGCTCTCTGAAACAAACGAATATTGAACATTTGGTTCCCTTCAAAAACTACATATCATATCTCTAACATTTATCACTACCAATTACATCCTTAATGTATCCTTGCAGGTATCTGCCTAGGTAGGTACAATGGGTATAATGTTGGCAGAGGAAGACAACAAAACAATGTGCATGGCCTAAAAGCCATGAGATCACACACACAAAAAATACATTTTCAAAAATTGGTTGCGCAAAATGGCCACATGGCTTACTACGTGGCTTACTGGTTACTTAGTGGAGAACAAAAGAATAATGCAAACACAATGTTTGCTGTTTTTTTTAACACATTTGAATTGACTACTAGCTTCCAACAGTCTAAGCCCAGTGAAATACTGCCCTAAACAAATTAGCTTATGTATGGTTTGACAGTAACAGTCACAAAGGACTGTAAATAGGTGCAAATAACTAACCAGTCTATAAAAATACAGTTGCAAGCTTTTTTCAGCTTTGAGTGACTTGAAACTACATTTATTTGGTACAAATTATATTCTCATAATATTTAAATATGTTAGTCGTGTAGGCTATCTGTGAAAGTTAGTTCCTTTCAGCTTTAGCTATGAGCATAAAAATGTAATAACTGACCTGCTTCTTTTTCAGAGTACAAGCCAACTATGTGATTGTCTTCACTTATTACACCTGCATCAGGAAAAGCTCCAATTTGACCCAAAAAGAACCTCAAACTCTGTAACAAACTTATGTTTTTACATGAAGCTATGGAAAATACAGCATATGGTAAAGCATTGCTTTAAACTAGGACAGTGGCAGTCAACAACATCATGTTTATTTCCCAAGAAATAGGATTGTATTGATGCAAATGTTGGCGAAAAAGCAAATAAGCAAAGCTGACTAAAAGTTGTCTTTGGCAACTACTGATAGATAATAAACAATGATCTGGATTATTAAGAAAAAAGCAGAAGTGATAAATGTGGATGCTGTTGGGTGAAGCCCTTTGATTTTTGCCTTATTTAATTAACAATAACATTCTCTTCTAATAGTCCGAAATAGATCATCACTAATAGCTATTTTAAAAAGATGAGACCGAGTTGAAGGACTGCCAATTCACAACCTAAAGTGATAATCCAGTCATTAACTGTAATTAATGGAGTAGTCCATGTCATTAGATTTACACATTAAATAGCATTTATTTAACTTTTTCCCACTAAAAAAACACCTGATCACAAATACAGTATAGTACTTTTAAGCAAGCATAAGATTCATAGAGAAATAGAAAAGAAACAAAAGAAGCACATTCCTCTAAAAAGTGACTAAAACTGTAGGAATCATTAAAAAAAAACAAAGAAACTAAAACAAAGTAAGAATCTTGAGCGGCATTCTCTGTACATGATTAGATGACAGGCAAAAAAGCAAAATATTCACAGGTGAGGAAGTGATCAAAAGCAAACTGGATGTGTGGAGAACCTGAGGGGTGAAGGCTAAAGTGGTGGAAGCGATGGTTAGAGGCAGCTAAGCTAACATTACAAGGTGACCAGGGTCCTACAGCTTCAGTGGAGCAAGCAGTGCACAATACACAGGGGACCAAGGAACACTTTCTTCATGGCTGGGATAGCCCACGAGTGATTTAAGATGGGAGAAGAGAAAATGCACGGTGGGGGTCGGATGCACAACTGACGATTGAGTTTCCTTTTATCAGAACTAGACAGTTATGCTGCTCTTCACACGGATTGCTCCTTGGGGAAGGAGAAGGGAGCTCGAGGGCCGTGGGCTGGAAAGCTCGTGTTGGAGTACATGGGCTCATTGGACGGGTGCTGAGCATAGGGGTGCTGAGGCAAGAACGTCACGGGAGGATAAGGAGGGGTGGGTTGAGACTCTGGGATAGGTTCAACGTTGCAGGTACGTTGGTAGCTCATGTATTCGGCTGGGTTCAACAGCTCTTCTGGATGCCTCCCAGTTTCCTGCAAGAATGTGACAAATAACAAAACATTAGGACATAACATTTACAGCGGAAGTTTAATTTCACATGTTCTCATCAACGATGTGCAAGAATGTCTTTATACTGAGGAATATTAATAGAAATCACCTATTTTATTTATTTTTACAGTTGATTTCTGTTTTTAAAAAATTGTAACAGCTAAACATTGCACAGAGTTAATTTTATATCACAGTAAATTAATACTGTTAGAGCATACGTTAAGCACCAGATGTGGCACTAAATTTGACACGTGCAGAATTGTCTCCAAACAGTTTGCACTCAGGAGGGTGTTATCGTGAATCTGAAAGGTGCAGATGAAACTAAAAGTGAAAATTGGTTTTAGGTCAATTAAAAATGCTCTGCTTTTGTATCTCAATGTCTACATTTAAAATATCCCTGAATTAACAACAAAAAAGGTTGAATCATGTCATCTGGACTTCGTTTTTTTGTTAAAAAGAAATGTTTCGCCCCTCATCCAAGAGGCTTCGTCAGTCTGAGGCCTAGCCATCTGGTATTACCCAGAAGCCACCCTGACTCTTGTCTTTCAAGCCTGCCTCAGATACCCCTGAAGTCTGGCCTTTTCACTAATGGTTTCAAAAACACAAAGTTTGTTTTCTCAGTCATCCAGGTATATAACAACAAAAAAGGTTGAATCATGTCATTTGGACTTCGTTTTTTTTGTTAAAAAGAGGGGCGAAACGTTTCTTTTTAACAAAAAAACGAAGTCCAGATGACATGATTCAACCTTTTTTGTTGTTATATACCTGGATGACTGAGAAAACAAACTTTGTATCCCTGAATTAAGTTAACATAAAAGTCAAACTACTTCTGACTTTAATTGTCAATTTTGTTAATTTTATTTGCATTTGTGATTTGAAAGACTTACATTCTTGCTTTAATTTTAGAACGCTGTTCAACAAAATCAATGTTGCAGCATTTGTGGTATTTGGACATTTATTTATTATGTGTGGTTTAGAAGTTGATTTGATGACTTAATACTGTATTTGCTTTAAACCCTCTAGGCATGTACATCTTAAGGTTTTTCTACACCAAGTTTGTTATTTACCCATATTAATTTATTTTCTGTTTGGTTTATTTGTTGTATTTCGACTCAGTTTTGATCCAAAGTCATCTTGACAGATTACTTTAAATAATGTCATGTTTTACCCAGCTGAGCAGTTCTTCAACTAACACTTGGTTTTTGCACACAAAGGCAAAAAATAAGCAAAAATGCATTTTTTTTTTCAAGATTCACAAAGCTATGCATATGTAGCTGTATTTATCCCAATTATTAGTAAACATGAATGTACGCAAGCCTGGTTTCCACTTTCACTTCTAATCATCATAATGCTCAAAAACTCCCCTAAACAGTCATTTGTAGAAGAAGAAAAAAATCACGTTATTTATGGCACATGAAATGAAATTGAAGATAAAGTTTATGAAATTAGAAAACCAAGCAATTCACATTAAATTAAAAAACAGAAAAATCAGTTTCTTCTTGTCACTTTGTGCTGGGACTTTAAATAGAAGCAACGCTGTCAAATGAAAAGAAAAAGATAATAAAAAGACTGATACTTTAGGTTCGCAGCAAAGGACACAGCAGGAATAAAATATACAAGAAGACAGCTGATGTCCCCCACTGAGGGATTTGAATAGTGAATGTTTGTAGTTTTTGAAATGAGTGATGCGACAAAGCAATGCTTGATATTGACCTTTCTTAAGGCTAGATGCAGAAAAACAATGTACATGTTCATCAAGGCACGGATGTAATTATTTTTATGTTCGAATAAAACCATAAGCTCAATTTCACTTGCTGTAATATATTTTATTGTGTCAAATCAAAAAGATAACTTGCAAAGATTAGAAGTGGAACCTATTTTTTTCAGAGCTATAAAATCTCTAGAAAGAGTGGTCCCCATAATGCATTGGCTGGTCATGGGGCTTGAAAATATGACAAAACCAGGATGTGTGTGTGGGTGTGTGCGGGTGGGTGTGTATTGCCAAAATTTCTTGTGAACCACATTATAGGCATTAATGAAACTTGTCAAAAAAAATTATTGGACAGATACAATTTCTACAACTGATTAACTTTAGGGGTAAAATACGATTCAAGATGGCTGCCACGACCAACTGCCCTTGAAAATACAAAAAATGACTATAACTCAGTCAATTCTACAAATACTGGCTAATGAAGAAGCAGCTGGGATTGATTTCCAGCACCTAATTTGCTCAAAGTTATGCAAGACCATTGTTTAAAATTTACCATTAACTATTTGTATTTACCGCTGTCTGTTGGCAAAATATCATAAACCACTGGACGCACTTTAATGTGCTATTTAGGAAATAATAAGTGGATGTAGGTCTATAAATTATTAATGTTTGGAGTTAATCCCTTTCAAGATGGCTGCAACAGTCAATTGTCCTATGATAACCCAGGCATTACTATGATCAAGGCAAATTTCCAAATACTGAACTAAAAATGATGAGGTCATAGTTAAGTCATTCACATCACCTAATCCAGGTGCTACTTAGTGTGCACAACTTTTGCTTAAGACATTGGCATTACCTGTTGACATCATTCCTGTTTGTTAGCAACATATCTCACAAACCGTTAGGATTTTAACAAAACTCTCAGAAATTATTCAGTGGATGCAAATCAACAATTTAGTATTTTTTTTGTCAGTCCAATTAAAGTTGGCTGTAACAGCAATTAGCTATAATTTGATAGAGGCACAGTTTAGAGACATTTGCACACATATATTTGAAATGTTGAACACATTGTTATTATCTATTTCATGTCTTAACATGAAAATGCTTCAAATTGTGTCATGAAAAGAGGCAGGTGATATATTGTACATTCCTTCAAGGGCAAGTTAGGTCATGTCTTAGCTTGAAAAAAATGCAGATGAATCTAAAACACATGCACAATTTTTCCTTCCTCTGATGTTTTACAATAACTCACATCCATAAGTGAGTGCAGACTTTTACCTGTAAGTGCTATCTCATGGAGGTTTGATGGAAATTGTGACTCAGGCTCCTAAAACCATTAAAATCTAAGATTTCTTTTTTTAAATCTGCTGTTAAAGTAGTTCCAAATGCAAGAAGGATTACAACCGCATGACGAAATGACAATAAGGACCCATCCATCCATGATCTTGACACGCTTCTTCCATTTCAGGTCACGGGGGTCACTGGTGCCCACGTCCAGCAGTCACTGTGTGGGAGGCGGGAGACACCCTGGACAGGTCTCCAGTCCATCACAGGGACACATAGAGACAAAAAAGACCAACAATCATTCACTCTCTCAATCACACCTAGGGATAATTTAGAGTTACCAATCAGCCTAACATGCATGTTTTTGGTCTGTGGGAGGAAACTGAAGTACCCAGGGAAAACCCACGCATGCACGGAGAGAACATGCAAACTCCACTCAGAAAGGTCTTGGGCTGGGATATGAACCGGCGACCTTCTCACTGAGAGGCAACAGCTCTACTAACTGAGCCACTGTGCCACCTAAAGAAGGACAGTCGTAAAAAAACTGTTCTTTGTTTTTCTTTCGGCTGTTCCCTTCATCAGCGGTCGCCACAGTGAACTAAGTCGCATGGAAACTTGACAGTTATTTGTACGCCAGATGCCCTTCCTTCAACCACAGACACCGAGCCACCACAGCCCTCTGTGTGGAGCAGAGAGCTGCATCTAGGGTGCCCAGTGGAGCAGATGGTGGGGGTTAAGGGCTTTGCTCAAAGGCCCAGAGTGGGACAATTGAGGGTAAAGGCAGGTGTGGTGTGTTTCACCTATCCCACCCACATTTCGATGTTGTCACATTTTGATCTTCATGTAAAAAAAGGAAAATATGAGAGTAATTTAAATAATAATGTGTTATGTATTGTCATTGTCATACTGTCTGTTCCCATAGAATAGCAAAAGTGGCTCTCTGCATTTAACCTGTCCACCCCCAGGTGGAGCAGTGGGCAGCTATTGAAAGCGCCCGGGGAACACTTGGGGACAGGGTGTCCTGCTCAGAGACACCACCAAATGCGCAATGACTGGAGATCGAACCTGGGACTTTTGGGTCCCAGGTTGGCTGCCCTGCCTCTACCCCATCTCGGCCCCACCAGAACTCACGAGTTTTCCTTAACTATCTCTACTTATACAAAAATGATGATCCCCCCCAACTCTGAAAATGGTTTGCAAGGTAACGGAACAAAAACAAAACAACCAAAAGCAAATAAGTCTTCAAATAATTTATTACATTAAATCAATGTAAACTTAAAGCATTCTACAAAATGCCTTGAAAACCCGTCCTGTTTTTGAATGCACTTTAAGAGTTACAGCTCAAACAACAGGGCTAATGGAAGTAGCAGGGTTTTAAACTGGCATGGTGGGCGATAAATGGTGACAGAGACAGTGGATCCCAGTAAGACAAAAAAAAAAGGGAAGCGGCTTTTTGTGAAGGTGAACCGGTATTTTCACAGCAGGAGACGTACAAATAAACTGGTCCTGACACAAATACTGGAGACACTGACTGAAGTTTTAAAAAGCTTATTTGTTTCAGGTCAGTATCAAGGAGCGATCAAGCTGCTCAAGAACATTTTCTTTCTTGTCAGGTTATTAATGTCTCTGCTTGCTGAGGGGTCCTCGGTGAATTGGTGCAAAATTAAAACCAGCAGTCTGTGGAGCAGCTTTTCTGTTTTATAGTTTTCTCTTTTTTTTTTTCCTCTCAAGACTTTTGGGATTCACACTTGAATATTTCACAAACTGCTGACAAAGGTTTGACAAAGTTATATAGTTTTTATTCTTCAGAGTTACTTTCCCACATGTACACTTGGATGTGTTCACACTGACAGTTTGGATGGAAATCTCCATTCCTTCAAAATTTTAGGTGATGAGAAATTTGCTTGGAAAGTTTAACGACTCTTATTAGGATTTGACCATAAACAAGGATTTCAGGATACGCGGCTAATCCCAGGGAAAAATAGGATT